TGTTACATTTGACTACTTTCTAAATGGCATTGTGTAATCAGAGGATATTTGTTCATAAAGAGGCATTGATAGAAACATACATTTCACTGTTTTTGTTTAATTTTCTCTGTGGGTGGTTTAATTTTGGAATTGAGTTTCTAAATCCTCCCGAGCAATGCTCTTGCTCTTGCTTGACAACGGTACAAGAATCTATATCGAAACGTCGCACTCACGAAATAAAGAAGTTGTTATCCATAAAAACTTGTTCCATATTGTACGTCTCAACTTCTAAAATGCCACTCAAACAAGTTCTCCCGAGCAATGTCGGATTAGAGGGGTTCTACCGTAGTTCCAAAGAACACTGCTTGTTCAAGAGTAGATGCTATTGTATATCGAATATATGTTATCTTTCAATAATAATCAGACGCCAATTCCATTCAATTGTTTTACCCACCGGGAGTTGAAATACAGGATGTTTGATTTAGATTCATGCCGAAAGATTCAGAACGTCAACTTTCAAAAATGCCTCGAGGGATGGTTCATGTTTCAGGTAGTCAGATTTCTTTCTTCTAACAGCTATAGGGGCGATGGGGTAGCCTAGTGTTACGGTTTAGAAATTATCATGACACAAAAGTCCTTTGAGTCCCCTATAAACCAGCAAAATATAACAAGGCCACTTAGGCCACTTGAGGTTTTAAGCAACTTCTTCAAAATGTAGAAGACCGCCTCCGTGGTGTAGTGGTTAGAGAGTCCGCCCGGAGAGCGGAAGGTCGCGGGTTCGATCCCCGACCGCGTCATACCAAAAGACGTTAAAATATGGTACTTGTTGGTCCCTGCCTGGCGCTCGGCATTAATGGGTACAACAAGGACTGGTCAGCTCGGAGTCAGTATAATGTGTCTGAGTGGGGTATTCATGCTTCACTGCGGTATGGTATCTGAGTGGGCTAGCACTATAAAATCAGCTTCAGTCTGGTTTAGTACAAGCAGCCGTACATACACATACACACGCATGCGTACACGTCATATGAGCGAAATATTCTCAGGTACGACGTAAAACCCAATTTCACCTCACCTCAAAATGTAGAAAATATTTATCTACTTCTACTCACTGAAAGGGGGTACCGGTCTGGCGTGTCTTGCAAATGTCGAAAGAAGAAGTGTTTGAGGGGAGAAAAGGTAATTAAATATCATTAAAAGTTTTAACATTTGTTATTACACAGAGGATATTTAACATATGTTATATTTGGGATTACACATTCTTAGTAAAGTACTGATTCTACAATCAGTCAAAACTACTCGTGGTGGCTGAACGGGTAAGGCGGTTGACTTTGTGTGCTGGCGATTAGGTGCCTGACGCTGAGGGTGTGGGTTCGAATCCTGGATGGGACTCAACCCAACAAATGTACTAGAATCTGTACTTTACTAAGAAAGTGTAATGCTAAATATAGCATGTTACATTTGACTACTTTCTAAATGGCATTGTGTAATCAGAGGATATTTGTTCATAAAGAGGCATTGATAGAAACATACATTTCACTGTTTTTGTTTAATTTTCTCTGTGGGTGGTTTAATTTTGGAATTGAGTTTCTAAATCCTCCCGAGCAATGCTCTTGCTCTTGCTTGACAACGGTACAAGAATCTATATCGAAACGTCGCACTCACGAAATAAAGAAGTTGTTATCCATAAAAACTTGTTCCATATTGTACGTCTCAACTTCTAAAATGCCACTCAAACAAGTTCTCCCGAGCAATGTCGGATTAGAGGGGTTCTACCGTAGTTCCAAAGAACACTGCTTGTTCAAGAGTAGATGCTATTGTATATCGAATATATGTTATCTTTCAATAATAATCAGACGCCAATTCCATTCAATTGTTTTACCCACCGGGAGTTGAAATACAGGATGTTTGATTTAGATTCATGCCGAAAGATTCAGAACGTCAACTTTCAAAAATGCCTCGAGGGATGGTTCATGTTTCAGGTAGTCAGATTTCTTTCTTCTAACAGCTATAGGGGCGATGGGGTAGCCTAGTGTTACGGTTTAGAAATTATCATGACACAAAAGTCCTTTGAGTCCCCTATAAACCAGCAAAAATAAAACAAAGGTTACATAATGACAAGGCCACTTAGGCCAAATCAAAATTGAGGTTTTCTGGTTTTAAGCAACTTCTTCAAAATGTAGAAGACCGCCTCCGTGGTGTAGTGGTTAGAGAGTCCGCCCGGAGAGCGGAAGGTCGCGGGTTCGATCCCCGACCGCGTCATACCAAAAGACGTTAAAATATGGTACTTGTTGGTCCCTGCCTGGCGCTCGGCATTAATGGGTACAACAAGGACTGGTCAGCTCGGAGTCAGTATAATGTGTCTGAGTGGGGTATTCATGCTTCACTGCGGTATGGTATCTGAGTGGGCTAGCACTATAAAATCAGCTTCAGTCTGGTTTAGTACAAGCAGCCGTACATACACATACACACGCATGCGTACACGTCATATGAGCGAAATATTCTCAGGTACGACGTAAAACCCAATTTCACCTCACCTCAAAATGTAGAAAATATTTATCTACTTCTACTCACTGAAAGGGGGTACCGGTCTGGCGTGTCTTGCAATGTCGAAAGAAGAAGTGTTTGAGGGAGAAAAAGGATTTTCGAGCTTTTTCAGCTCAATTTCTCTGTCAATTACCTGGTCCCTGGTATTATGACCTACCTTCAGTTGCTGGTGATCTATAGCCCATTTTTGTTTTGTAATGTCCTAAGTAGTATATAATTTTAAGTTACATGCTAGTTTTAACTGTGATATACTAGTTGATTTACTGTCCTTTAGCGACAGATTTTATCAAATAAAATTATAAAGTATTTATTGTTTTAGTCACGATATGGCTGAAATATTGCCAACGTGACTTTCAATTTAAACTCACTCACTCACTGTCAATTTCCAATTTCATTCTGTCATTTTCCACTCCCACATTTCTCAATTCCCTATCTTCTGTCTATTTCCAGCCATTTCAGTTCTAATTGAAGGGTTTTTTTCATTTCCAATTGGTCCGAACATTCTTCTTTAACCATTTCCAAAACTTCATGTCCAAAATACTCCCTCATCAATATAGTGATCCAACTCAACTTTCAAAATCTGAAATTTCCTCATAGCAGGTTTGGCCTCAAGTTTGAAATGTGCAGAAATCTGATTTAAGCAAGTCACCGACTGCCTCAGGGGTAGGGACTTAGAAACTTCCAAAGTTTAAACACCATTTTGCTGGTTTCACAATTACCTTGTTTGCAAAAATGCAGAAATTTGAAATACATTTTCAACAAAAAGTCTCAAATGTCAAATGAATTCTATCCGGGACGAGCCCCAAATGTGTTTTGTGACCCCTGAGACCCCTTTAACCAGCAAAGTAGAACACAGACAAGTCTATAATGTAATATGATTCCTAATACAATATAACTGGAGCACAAATCTAAAGTATAAACTCACCAAAGTCTTGATATTTCTGGTAAACTGATGCACGCTATAACGAATGTTGACAGCTGTTGAAAGATCAATGTGGACGAGGCCTCAAACGTCGATGTCAGCAGACAGACAAGCGTAGTAGTCCCCCGTAAATCTCAACAACCATTGCCATAAAATTCTGGAGAAATCCAGAAAAATCTACGCCCCAACACAATGATCGAATCGCTTCTCGATCCTTCGCCGGAAGCATAACAAAGGGGAGGTATTTAGTTATGGCAAGTCTGCTAATACAATTTTACGCTAACCTTTCTGCAAACATCGGGAATCATACAATTTGATAGTGATTTGAAACACATAGTCATGATAAAGTCGTAAATTGTACAATGCACTCTGATTTTTGCACAGCTTTCTTTTGAATATTTAATGGATTTGCGGCTTCTTTGTGTCAACTTTTCTTGAATGATACAACACAAGGTGCTATAATCCTCATTTATCGTCCTGCATCTACTCTGAACGTTTGTTCTTGTAAAACAGTTGACTTTAATTAACGAGACAGGATTCAATTAACACACTTGACTTGACTTGACTAACACAGCCAGATATTTGTTGCTCAAAAGAAATTGCTCCCTTTCCCACAGCACCTTATGTGAGGAATTCGTGGTAGTAACAAGCCACACCAAGAAGTCTTAAACGTGTCTGTATATTTGGGAGGAATTGTGAAATACATTTAGACCTTGTCTGAACGAGCTGTAACTGATCTTGGTCTATATGACTTGACCTAAACATTGTGGATATGCCTCTACACATTTCTACTTCAATACATTTACAGTAAATTTAGCTTCAGTGGGTCTCCTTAATAAGGAAAAGATGATCTTCAGGTGTTCGTCCTTCTCCGTGGAATGAGTGATGGTATCATTGATATAGGCATCGACTCCGACAAGAATGCCAGTGATGGCTAAATTGAGTCCAAACACTTAATTTGACATCACATCAAGACCAACGGTTGTTGTTATTTCCACCTTGGGTAGCGAGTCGGGGAGTTTGACTACTGTTAGTTCGTGGTAAATGCTGCCTTCAATGACTTTATTGCCATTGTTTTCAGCCATTGTAGTCATTTCCAGTTGGTTGCATCTAACACAGAATGCCACTGTCACTTTCCCTCAAGTGCCCTATGTACGCTATATACACAGTATATTCTGCTATGTACTAGACCTCTGCTGTGTATATTAACTACATCTCACAACGTTGGCTTGTTGCCAGGATATATATCGGGGCTGAATGGTCATGAAGGAGAGACAGACAGACAGACATACAGGCAGACAGACTGTAAACCTAAAACTGTGTGTTTGCAAGAAGATAACAAATAAACACTGAAAATTGTGCATTACTGAAGCAACAACACAAACCACTGACCATCAGTAAAAGTCATCCAGTTAATCAAGACGGCTATGGGTGTTTCCAAAGCATAGTGCAGTGTATGACCACATCTAAACAATCAGAAGGAAGTTATGGTCTGCAAGGATTCAGACAAATATCGTCGTTTCCTGTTGTTTCCTATACATGTTTCTGTGTTTCTTCAGTGACGGCCCCATGAATCTTTAGGCCTGCAACTCGCTGCCAGTCTCTAGAATATATTGGATAATATATTTTATGATTATCTGGACGAAATAATATCTGGTCATGTGATCCAGGTGTCGGGTTTCCGGTCTTAGGTGACTGGCTGGTCACCATTTTGTAAAACCCATACCAGTAACTGACACAAGCAAAACATAGTTACGTGTCCATTTCCAAGTTGGAACAATACGTTAACCACAGAACCCCGCCCCGCACATCCAGGACGCAAACAGAAAGATGTGATATAAGATGCTTGAGGCAATCACTTAACACATTACAAACTACTGAAACCCTTTCAGACATTACCATGCTTTGCTGAGTTAGTCCTGACCACAATGCATTAACATATAGCAATTCCTACATCACTGCCTACATCAGATATAACACATTCAATGTAGAAGCAATTCAATTGAAACATAAACTGAAAACGTAAGGAGCATAACACTGCCATATCACATGGAGTCATCAATAATTATCACCTCTCGTCAAGTTGACTTTTTGACGATGTAGTGAACGCAAAACCGAGTTAATTGGTTTTCAATGCCTTTTAGTCTCTCACAATAACACCCCCTTCATAGTTTCGAACAACAGCTTCATAAACAGCTATTTTCTGGTAATTGTTTACCTATACATAACAGATTACCCATGCACAACGATGTCACTTACATCCATGAACGATCCTTTGGCCTTGAGCAAGGTGACAACCGCCATGACAGGTACAGGGATGACAGACATGGAGGCTAAGATCCACCCTGCTACCTGACACACCCAGGGGTACTGATAGTCACCATAGGTCGGGGGCTGGAACCGCCACAGAACCAGGAACAAGGCGATCTGCAATGTTATCATTATCAGATGAGAATGGTTGGAACCGCCACAGAACCAGGAACAAGGCGATCTACAATGATATCAGGACGGTTAAGACGGCCATAATCATTAATGCATTAAGAAACATGTTGCATCAGCCACCTTTTATGAACTGCAGACAGAATTGGTAATCTTTGAAACATCCCAAAGAATTTCTGAAGCAAGAAGAATACTTTTCCTTACGGTAAGAAAGCCAGGCGTGATGTAGCCAAGCATGATGCTGAAGAACATAGGTACTCTCCTGCCCAGCATTAGCTCCACGTCCCCACTAAATCTCCTTGAACCTGATAAAGGAATAGATTCATATGTGTATGTATGTGCATGTCAAAGTCATTGTATATGTCCGTCTATCGTAACAAAACACTTGTACCACGAAACCGACCATAAATATGATTCCCAGCTGATTATGGAGAGCACATTGAACAACAAATTACTCGGAGTTGGCCAGAATGTAGAGTGTCCATAAATGAATAAACATCACATCATTATACACAAGAGAAAAATATGACGGACACTTACCGTAAATCCAGCTGAATGTTATGCATTCCAAAACGCCAAACAGAATTGCACACAAGACACCCAAGTACCAGTCAGCGAGTTGAAAATAAAAGATCCCTCCCTGTAAAGGTAAATTTACCTGTGTGATGGTACCGCTCTGTTTGAAACAACAACTACTGAAAGTAAGACTTTCCGTGGCCTCATGAAATATATTTCGCTTGTTCTGTAAAATGTTCTCAGTAACACAAGTATGAGCAGTATTCCAAAATAATGTACAATACAGCAGGTTTTCCCTGGCGTTAAGAAGTTATCAAGTCAATATACTTTCATGAATTTTCTTTTAATGTTTACATTGCTATTTCCTCTTCCATACGTACATTTTCACCACAAACAAAAATTTGAAAGAAAACTAAAGTTTACATTTGTCACGAAGGGCAGACCAAGCAGAAGCTGGCTGTGCAGGCCACTGCTGTGACCAGAATCCGCCGCTTCCGTAGCACTGCTGGGAACTGGTCAATCACATTGGTTATCACTGTCTCCATCCACGCAAACTGCAACATGAACAACGACACTTAACGATGTCTCCTGGATGGTATTGTACTCACTGACTAACGGGACTGTCATGTATCAAGGTATCTTTAAAAACATATATACTTTAATTCAGAACGTCAACTTTAGAGAATAATCAGTATAGATCGCCTTCAGAAATCCACATCACGCCAAAGACCCGGGTTCGATTCCCCACATGGGCACAATGTGTTAAGCCCATTTCTGGTGTCCCCCGCCGTGATATTGCTGGAATATTGCTAAAAGCGGTGTAAAACTAAACTCAGTCAGTCAGTCAGAAATCCACAGATTCCATTGGATATTTGAACCTTGTGGTGAACACTACAGGGATGAATCCCTTGAAGATCAGTGATGACACCTGCTGTCTGCGAACAGACTTTAAGACTGGGTGTGTAACCTTGTTGTGTGGCTTCATGGTATTATATAATGTCCTATTAATGTGATATCGCTACAGATTTCATATACGTCTGATATATACGTTCGACTGACAAAATGCTCTTTACCAAACTGGGAAGAACCTTTCTTGTAACGTACTTTGTCACATTCACCTTGGCGAAATGGACATCGCCTATATTGACATCCCTTAAGAGCTTTTGTTTCATTAATTACAAAACTTTTCATAAAATGTGGTTTGACAACGGGTGTCACAAGTGGGGAAGGACACACTCACCAGTCCTATTCACGAAAGTTGGTATCATCATTATACTTCATGTGATATAGTCGGACCCGTACAAAGGACTTTGGTTTTACTAGTGATTTGGATGGATATTGTTTTGTGGCTTTTTTACGAATATCTTATTGGTTTGTTTTGTTGAATGTTTGTTTGTTAGCTTGTTTGTTTGTTAATGATTATTGGTCGTTTATTCTTCAAAGGAAATCTATTATTCTTTATATCGAAATCATATTTGAAGAAATCTATCTATCAGTATCTATTGCACCAATCCGCTTCTTCCAATAAGAAGGATTCAAATAAGTAACTTCAGATTCGAACCCACTCTCTCCGAGTCAGACACCTAATCGCCAGCACAAAGTCAGCGATCTACTCACTCAGCTAATGTGATTTCCACAAAAATGGAAGTGTGATAACTGGTAGTCTAGCTCATGTACTTTGTGTACCCCTCTGACAAGTGTAAATATACACTGACGAAGCTATGAATGCACAATGCCCTTTAGAAAAAGTTCAGATGGAACATATGTTATATTTGAGAATAGACATTCATTGATAAGTACAGATTATAGCACTTGTTGAGTCACATCCTGCGAGTGTGGGTTCGAATCCCGGATGAGACTCAGTACTGACGGTATAAATAACATTTAAACTTGCAACTCCCAACGCTGTGTAAACACTCACTGTATCGAATTTGTCTGTACCGAACGTCTTTTCCTGTATTGCTGGTAAACCTGTGCATGACTGATGCCTTACCTGACTGTCCAATCCAACTGTCAGCATCATCAGAAAGAACAGGGAGGACCAGAGTTGAGGCAGGGGAAGTTGAGACAGGCCTCCTGGGTACGCAACGAATGCAAGGCCTGGACCTGCCAATCAAGAAATGCTGCTGTGATACCTCCGGGTGATGGACTATTCGTTTGGCTCCAAATCGCATTTTACTTACAAACGGCCTCACTCCCACGCACGCACACATGTGACAGATATTTAATTTTTTCTAGGACAAAAATTATATGCGGTGTTTACAGTGAAATGTATCAGAAATCATTAATCAGAAGTACGATCAAATATGGCTGCAAACCCCAAATGGGTGAAATAGTTTGATATATTTTATATGAAGGCAACTCTCTGTAGGTTTGGGAGCATTTCCATGTGTTGGTCCTGAGGTTTGAACACATGGCCAAAATAAAGTCTGAAAACTTTGAATTCAATATGTCTTCCAAACCACTCATAAGTACATAAATATTGAGTACCTAGATCAGCAGATACAAGTGGCATTTTGTCAGTATTTGGACGGTTGAGCAGTAATACGTCTCAAAGTATTATTTAACTGATGTGCCTATGCATATGTTATGTTATGTTAGTGCTATCTGGTACTCAACTACCTATACAGGCACATACCAAGTTTGAACAATTTTGAGGCTACTCGTTAGTCAGTTACCTCTGGTACAAAAATAGGTGGAATGATAATAATGAATATAGTTGCGACTGGCAAGGCGGAAGTCAAACACCACCGCTAGTTATTAAAATACCAAGCCTCACTTTGCTTTATATAAAAGACGACAACACAGACAAAATTTGCCATTGACGTGTATGATCTGGCTGTGACTGTATAGTATGTTAGTGACTATATTACGAAATCAGTCCCATTTCCAGTTATTGCGTCTACCCGTGAAGATCAGGATTAGAATTGATCTTCAGTAACCCATGCTTGTCGTAGGAGGCGACTAACGGGATCGGGTGGTCAGACTCGCTGACTTCGTTGACAGATGTCATCGGTTTCCAGTTAGGTAGATCGATGCTCATGCTGTTAATAACTGGATTGTCTGGTCCAGACTCGATTATTTAAATGACATATTACCTGATAGAAATGTAAATAGTGACTCGCGCGTAATGTGAGGCAAAGTTTCTGATCACCTATCCACTATTCCCTCTAAACTGATGTTAATGGTGCGGTTGAAAAATTATGTCAGCTTTTCTACTTTGCTGGGGAGCACTTTAAATCCAACGGGGGGGTTGCTATGAAATCTATGAAAAAACAACCGATTTGATAAAGAATGTTCTTCTTTAAAACGTAAAAAGTATATATAGCACTTTAGAAAAGCTACGTATGAACAGAAACAGAGTCAATATCAATCAATACTTGGAGGCCAAACGTATCTTCCGGCGCATCTGTAACGAAAAATAGGAAACATTCATTGCCGAAGCTATAAATAATTTGTCAGTAGCTGTAAATAATAAAGACTGCAGAAACTTTTGGAAACAACTGAAATGTCTCCTTGCTAGTAAACGTGATGAAAATTGATTTAACACCAAGTGAATGGTTTGTATACTTTAAAGATCTTTTAAATCCTTCTGATAGTTAAACTGAATTTGATCACGATGTTGCACATTTTCTTGAAAATCATGATAGTTTTCCATGTGAAAAATGTTTGAACATTGATATGTTATCAGATACCATCAGCCATGAGGAAATTATTAAAGCGATCTCTGATATTAAATCGGACAAGTCACCAGGAATAGATGGCCTTCCACCAGAATTCATGAAGAATGCACCTTCCCTTGCTGATCATTTCTATGCATTGTTTAATGTCATTTTAGATTCAGGAGTATTTCCCTCTGATTGGAATGTTGGTTTACTGGTACCTATCTATAAACAAGGAAATATGTCTGATCCCAACAACTATCGGGGAATATCCATGTTAAGAGTCATTGGTAAAATATTCACTTATGTTCTTGAAAAAAGACTGCGTAGCTGGGCCGAGTTTAATGCTTTACTTAATGAAGGGCAAGGAGGCTTTAGAAAGGATTATTCTACCATAGATAATATGTTCTCACTCCATTCTTTAGTTGTAAGTAAGTACCTGCGTAAAGCAAATCATCGTTTTTATGTAGCTTTCATCGATTTCCGCAAGGCCTTCGATCTTATTGATAGAAAAAAAATGTTATATATTCTACTTGAAAAGGGTGTACACGGCAAGATGTATAAAATCATTGAGAACATGTACTCAAATGTATGTGCCTCCGTTCGTTCTGGTAAATCTAGAACAGATTTCTTTTCAACCAATAATGGTGTTCACCAGGGCTGCATGCTCAGTCCGCTACTTTCATCCTATTCATCAATAAACTTGCAGACGATCTCCATCATGGCAATACTCTTGGAATTTATGTAAATGAATACATAGAAGCTATTAAGATATTACTGTTCGCGGATGACGTTGCACTACTAGGAGATAGCATTGTTGATTTACAAAGAAAATTAGACATTCTTGAAGATTTTTAACACGTGGGGCTTTGAAGTAAATCTGGATAAATCTAAGGTGGTTGTTTTTCGAAACGGAGGACGCGTTAAGAGAAATGAAAAATGGTTTTTTAAAGGTCTACCTGAAGAGGCCACCCCTTATTATAAAAATATAGGAATTGTATTTTCATCTCGTTTAGTTTGGTCCAAAGCATGTGAAACGCTATCTTTACAAGCCAGACGTGCATGTTTCCCTCTGTTTCAACTGTTCACCAAGTATCAAAGTATGTCTTTAACTATTGCTAATAATATATTTGTTTGTAAGATACTACCAATTCTAACCTATGGAAGTGAAATTTGGGGCTATACTTATAGAACGTGTATTGAAAAGGTTCATGGTGAGTACTATAAAAGATTTCTGTCACTCAGTAAAAAACTGCATCATGTACTGTACTTTGGAGAAATTGGCAGATATAACTTGTGTGTACATTACCATTCAAGGTGTATTAAATATTGGTGCCGAATTATTCGTATGGACCAAAATAGATACCCGAATGCCTGTTATAAGATGATGAAAGCCTATGATGATAACGGAGCCACAAACTGGGTTTCACATGTTCGAATGCTTCTATTTACTACATGTTTCTCCTATGTCTGTTTAGCCCAAGATTGTGGCGATGTAAATCACTTCATGTTTGAGTTCAAACAACGCTGTACAGATATTAATATACAACACTGGAATAGTAAAATAAGAAACTCATCATTTCTTGTAAATTATAGTACATTTAAGTCACTTCTTGAACCTGAACTGTATATTTCCTGTGGCGCATTAAACAAAGATCTTATGCGAATGTTGATCAAATTCCGATGCCAATCACATAACTTGAATATACAAAACAACGTTTTTCAAAGATAATTGTCCCATATAAAGAATTAGTTTGTAACAAATGTACTTTAAATGTACTTAAAGACGAATATCACTTGCTGTTAATATGTCCATTTTATAACCGATGCAGATCCCAATGTATTCCAGCCTATTTCTACAGCCCACCTTCAATTGTCAAATTCCGGGCCCTTATGAAGATACACAGTGTCACTGTTCTTAAAGGAATATGTATATTCCTGAAGCAAAACCTACGTTAAAATAATTGTATTATGAATTATATTTCAACTCTACACACCATGACAATGTTGTATTACCTGTTGTACTCTTGGCCACATGACCTCCAATTCTGAATAAAGTGATCAGTATATTCCCTCTACTGTAGAATTATGGAACGATCGGCAACTATCAGTTAGTGAGTGCGCTTACATATTTTTCCTATGGTTCAAGAGAGTATAAAATATTGCTTACAAAATTACTCTCCTCATACTCCTAGTTAAATCATGACTTATCAAGAACTGGTTTAATAAACAGGCACAACTGTCTCTGTAGTTATCCGTGTGAAAACGTTTATCACACGCACGCACGCACGCACGCATTCACCTGAAGATACTACTTGTGGAAGACTACGTACCCGAAGATGCTACTTCTGATACACCAACTCCAGCACTGTTGGCCATGAACCCAAGAACCGTGAAGATGACCAGCCCCGAGATCAGGCTTGTACCCTCGCCACAGAAGGTCAGCACAACAGAGTTCCTGATAGGACAGTAGTTTATTATGTATCATGAACATTATATAATCCAGTACAACACTGCAGACAACATTGCCACTCACAGACTTTATTCTTATGACAGCATTATATTTTAGGGTCTGTTCATTCTCTTAAGATATGGAAATGTGTGTGTCAATTCCTGTACACCTTTCCAAATGAAACTTAAATTGCTTTCATACAATTGATCCTTTTATCACTGTACCTTAATGTGTTGTCATGAAATCTATTGTAACTGGCCAACGTAACGATGACACCCCAGCCCGGACCAAGTGAGTAGAACAACTGTAACAGAGCCTCCAGCCACACCTGAAACACGGGGTGAGTTCATGATGAAGATGATTAATGTAGATGCGCCATGTTCACAGTCAGTTGAAGGCAACAGGTAAAGGAATCCGATTTCATGATCGATGCAAATTCAATCATAACCTCATCAGGAGACATGTGAGAACCATGAATTACCCTCTGAAGGATTTGTCACATGGCATCAATCAGTCTTCAAACTTAGGTAGGATTTAAACATGTATGACATAATGATTATGTTTGTCTGTAGGATAAAGTCAAAGGACAAAACACAGTATCCTTTGGGCAATTTGCAGATGGAGTCAGAACAGACAGAAAATATCAGATAGGCTCGCAAACATGGTTGCGCCCTAGTTATCGAGTCAAAATACTAGATCATCGTTATCGTAGTCCAGTAATCGTCTAACATAGTGAAGAGTGTTACTGGCGTGGACATTTTACAATCGTCAAACTATGCGAGACTTCCGACCACTATGGGGTCCTTTCCACGCCAATAAGACGCTTCACTATGTTAGACGATTATAGTTGGATAGGACTAAAATATGTCTGAAATTATATTTTGTTGCATTTTGTTGCCATGTAGACATCTGACTACAATTCGTAATGTTATTGTTATTTAAAACGTATGATCAGGCAGACATGCTTTTGACTATCGTAATTACTGTGAATACCTGCTTAGCTTATAGCGTAACATTATTGCAGCCATTCTCAGTTAAATTCCGTTTGTCCGAGACTGTAGAATTGAAAAAATGACATTCCTGAAAATGTGGTTATTTTATACAGCGAAACATAAAGACTGTTCCTGTCTCAATATCTTACACATGCATTGCAAACAACTAAAACACTGACCTACCTGCAGATCCAGAAGTCTGGTGAGATCTGGTTTCAGATAGAAGACAATGCCATCCACTGCTCCAGGCAGCAGCAGAGTTCTGATCAGCAGGACGACCAGCAGCAGGTAGGGGAGGAACATGGTCACATAGGCCACCTGAATAACAAGGTCGGCATTTCACAGCAGCAGGTAGGGGAGGAACACGGTCACATAGGCCACCTGTATAACAAGGTCGGCATTTCACAGCAACAGGTAGGGGAGGAATACAGTCACATAGGCCACCTGTATAACAAGGTCGGCATTTCACAGCAGCAGGTAGGGGAGGAATACAGTCACATAGGCCACCTGTATAACAAGGTCGGCATTTCACCATTAACTGCTTATAACATTTCACTTTTGCCTCTACAAAATGAATACATGACACATGATTGATGTCACTTTATGGCCTCATCTCCATGTTGATGTCGAATGAAGTTCGTGAAAAGCATTTAAAGTTGGACGAACATGAATACATAATGAACTCCACGCATCTTCTTATACAACACTTTTAGTTTTATATTTACACACGATATCACCGTATTTCCAGAGCACCCATTGGTTGACATGTGGCTGAGGATGGGATTAACCTTTCATTGACATCCGCACCTCCAACCTGTTCACCCTCCATATTTGTTGTCAAGATTCTAAATATCAGGTTTTGCACCAAGCCCCAACTATATCTTTGATCTGTTTACCTACTGTCGTTCAGGTATTAATCAATTTGCAGGGTTGATTTGCGAGTGCCACTCAGTATGGCTGCCAAGAAGTTTCATGTTACTCATGAAACCTTTGCACGGTCCTGTCTGCCAGCTTTTCATTGCATGTGTTTATACATCTATATGAATGAAACAGTGACGAGACCAGGTGCTCGCATCCCTTCTCTTTTCAAACAACTTTCGAGCAGGAGATATGCAGCGGCTCTTTCAACAAGAAAAAAGTTAATAGACTATGTTCTGATAAACATTGATCAACTTAATATTCATTTCATATGTTGTCCATTTCGCAGACCAGAATGTTGCACAAATATACACATGGAACTTAATCAAGCACCCTTTGATGTATTTCATCATAGTGATGTAGCTATCGATGATGATGACATGTCAGTGATGCCATTGTTTAGTAGCACATTTCAGGTAATTAAAAAACAAGGTTTTCATTTGAAAGGATTTGCCTAACTTCAGATAACATGTATGTGAAGCATGTCACCTGAGCATCCAGCGGAATAAAGCTATTGAGATTCCCCTTTGGCCTACAATGAACCCTGATTTAAACCCTATCGAGCACATCTGGGATATTCTTGGTTGTCGTTTGCAAGCAATGGGCCTCCTTTACAAATTGTGATTGAATTGGAGGTAACATTGCATGAGGAGTGTCGGCAATAAGGTATCCGCTGACTGGGGCAAGAAGAGAAGGGTGGAGGCTGTCATCCATCTACGTGACGCATACACGAGGTACTGATATTAAACAATATGGTAGATTTCAATTACTTAACTTCCTTGTGTATATATTAAAACGGAACGTGAAGAATCCGACAGTACTCAGGATCAAATTCCGGTTACCAATATATTGCAGTCAGTCATACTGACGTAGATTCATTCATTCATTTATTCATTCATTCATTCATTCAGGTCAAAATGCAGTGGAACATATGACAAATTGTCTACCTTTCCTGCACTCTTTACTCCTTTGATAAGTGATGCAAATACGAGTGTCCAAGATGCAAACAGGGACAGAGCCAGATGCCACTGGATTTGGCCAATTTGATGAACCCCTTCAGACACACCTAGAGCCTTGTACCTGAAACATTCAGAACAGTCAACCTCAAGACTAAAGGAAGTGCTTCCTGGTTAATGTTTGATAAGAAATATATTTTTTCTTTCATTTGTTCTAACTATTATGTGATATGCTGATGTATTGCAAGACTCTGTGTTCCACTCATTGCCACACGTTGACCAGGGAAGTACAGAAGCACATGACATTACCAGGTAGTATCTGACCAGGCTATAATGGTCTGGTAGTAGATAACCATGCACGTGCATGCAAGGAACTGACCGACGCCAATACCTGTTGGCATAATGATGACAAATGTTCACACTGATGCTTTTGAATCTGTTGTATGAGAGGAGCATCTATATTGGAGATATTATATATAGAAAGTGTTTTACCTCTGTCATTTAAGAGTATTTGGCTAATACGTCATTATTATTAATGACTGTAGTATTAACTATAATCATTGAGACTTTAAGTCAGGCACCCATGAAGGGCCACCTCCTCGTGGTGGGTGCTGGGTAACGCCAAGCGCCCTTCAAACCCCCGTTGTGGACCCGGGGGGATATTAGGTCCACCAACCCGTTTGCCGTGGGTTGCGCCCCTGTGTCGGTGGAGGAAGGTAGTCTGGTGGTTGAGGGCACTGGATCCAGGAACAGTGTTCCTTTGCCCAACACACCACTTTGACCCTGACTTCACCTAGACGGGTGGTAGAACTGGCCCGGTTCTATCAATCGGCTGGTCACGCCAAGCCCTGTGTATAGACTATATTTATACATGTCATTGCACAAATTTTATTTGGAATTATTTTACTTTCGGTCTTGGCTTACTTGCTTATCTAAAACGTTTGTGATTTTGAATTATAATGTCATGAACTTTGCCTAGAGTCTTATGCCCAGAAGGCGGTGGCTCATGGGCCAATCCGGTGGAATTTTTAATCTTTTAATTCTTCTGCTGGAGTATATCATCCGAGTATCCTTGGTGCTGCAAGTTGGAAATCCACTTGTTTTTAGCATTGTCCTTGTGATACTCCATGGTGGGTGGGGAGCTCGGATGATGAAATCTTACTAACTTACCATGGCTTACCTAAACCCCCCCAAAAAGACCAAGCGTCAACTTGACACTGATCCTGTTGAAACTGACCTCAGACTGCCCAACTCAATTGATTACTGGCCACGTTTTCTTGTGCTTGAAACTATTGACAAGACACCTTTGAAGTTGAATCCTTTTGCCGTAGCTAAAGGTATACAAGGCATTGCTGGTGACGTTAAGAACATTAAGCGATTACGTTCTGGTGCTCTGCTGGTTGAGTGTGTAAAAAGGCACCAAGCCACCAACCTTATGAGTATTGATTCTTTTGTCGGCATTCCAGTCACAGTCTCTGCTCACAAAACACTCAACACGAGCAAAGGAATTATCAGGGATCGAGATCGATTGTTTGCAGACATGTCAGAACTCGACATCGTCACCGAGATGAAGGATCAAGGCGTACTTTATGTCAAGCGTTTCACAACCAGGAAAAACGATACTGTTATCCAAACAAATACTTACCTGTTTTCATTTTCTACACCAAATGCTCCAAAATCTCTAAAGGCAGGATATTGTAACATCAATGTTGACACGTACATTCCGAACCCTCTCAGGTGCTTCAAATGTCAAAAGTTCGGTCATGGCGTAAATACTTGCACATTGTCTGTTGTATGTGCTCACTGTGGTGAGAAGACACATACAACAGAAGATTGTGACAGTACTGTCAAAAAATGTACAAACTGTGCGGGGATCATTCCTCTTTCTCTAAAAGCTGTCCTGTTTGGAAACGTCAAATGGAGATAAATCAAATCAAATTCACCCAAAACATTAGTTTTGCAGATGCCAAAAAACTAGTTCAAAGCTCCGAGCCTAAAGAGAGCTATGCTTCTATCACAACAACATCGTCAGAAGCGACAAATAGAATCACAAAATCATCTGCATGCTGTCAGACAAACTTGACCTGGGTTAAATCTGATTCTCCTCTGATATTCTCACCTGCAATATCTACACAAACTGCAGAACCACTTCCTGGTACGCCCAAAATCCAATCAGAACCATCTTATGACCGTGACACTTCTCAGTCAACTCCAAGATCTCAATCAACGCCAAACGTTCAACCAATCGTTAAAAACAAAGGCAGATTCAAAGAAACAAAGTGGCAGAGCCCCCAAGGGGTCAGATGATAAAATCAAGTTATTTAACAAATACGGATCACTTGAGGACATGGACGTGTCCGAAAACGTCCATTCTAGGGCACATAGCTTGTCGCCCTCGAAAACGGTGCGGGGTAGATCCCCAATTAATCCGCCTAAAAACTAGGTATATCTCCCAATATCGTGCAGTGGAACTGTAGAGGACTCCGGACAAATTTTAATGAAATACAGCTATTAATCCAGGATTTAACACCATCAGCGTTCTGTCTGCAAGAGACGTATCTGAAACAGACAGATAATTTTAACTTACGTCAGTTTGAACCGTATCATTATTTTTCCCCTCCAGGTGATAGAGCCACTAGAGGTTCTACTATCCTTATACGACAGAATGTTATTCACAGCCCTGTTGCTCTTAACACTAATCTCCAAGCTGTTGCAGTGCGACTTACTCTGGGTGTAGCATTTACGTTATGCTCTCTGTATATCCCGCCTTCATCGACACTTCAGCTGACTGATCTTCAATCACTCTATGATCAACTCCCGAAACCATGTGTTATTATGGGTGACTTAAACGGTCACAACCCACTCTGGGGCAGTACTAACATTAATACTAAAGGTAAAATACTTGAAGACTTCATTTCCAATAATGACCTGTGCATATTTAATGATGCTTCAAGCACCTATCTGCATCCTGCAACTGGCACTTATTCTTCTTTGGATTTATCTGTTGCAGATTCTAACCTCCTGAATGAATTTGATTGGTCTGTTCATAATGACCTTTGTGGAAGTGACCACTTCCCAACTATCCTTTCAGCAATAACTCCATCTGATTCTCCTTCGTACACAAGATGGAACTTTTCGAAGGCTAACTGGTCTTCATTTCAAACTAACTGTAAATCGAAACTGCGACCTGATTGTTTCAGTGATATAACTGATCCCATTCAAACCTTTTCTGATGTTTTAAATGAAATAGCTGATGAGTGTATCCCCAAGTCCTGTGCGACTCCACATGTACGAAAACCATGGTTTAATACAGATTGTAGACAAGCCAGAAAAGCGAGGAAAAAGGCAGAGCGTTATTTCCGCCATCATCCAACTGTCCATAACTTAAATAAATTTAAAATACTCAATGCAAAGGCGCGTCGTACCTTTAAACAAAACAAACGACAATCTTGGAGAAATTATGTCTCCAAAATTAATTCGCGCACGCCAATGTCTAAGGTTTGGAACATGGTTCAGCGAATAAAAGGCAAAGGTTCAAAATCAGCTGTACACCATCTTAAAGATGGTGATAACATGATAACTGATAAAACTGACATTGCAAATAAAATTGGCGAAACTCTTGCCAAAAATTCATCATCGGCAAATTATGTCCCTGAGTTTCAGAGATATCAGAAACAAAAGGAAAAGACAAAACTTAATTTCGAATCAAATAACGGTGAAGATTATAATGAAGTGTTTTCATTACATGAGCTACATACTGCTCTTGAGCAAGCTCATGACACTGCAGCGGGTGATGACAATATACATTACCAGCTACTGAAACACTTACCGGAACCATGTCTGATGACACTTTTAGATATATTTGACAAAATATGGACGTCTGGAGAATTTCCTCCTTCATGGCGTAATGCCATTGTAGTCCCAATACCAAAACCTGGCAAGGATCATACAGATCCGTCTAATTACAGACCGATCTCTCTAACTAGCTGTGTTTGTAAAACCATGGAACGTATGGTGAATAATAGATTAACTTGGTATCTTGAAACCAATAACCTTATAAGCAATATTCAATGTGGTTTCAGGAAAAATCGTAGTACCATTGATTATTTGGTACGCTTGGAATCCTTTGTTAAGAATGCTATAGTAAGTAAACAACATGCTGTATCAATTTTCTTTGATCTTGAGAAAGCTTATGATACGACCTGGAAGCATGGCATTTTGAGGGATTTACATGACTTTGGTTTGAGAGGCCGTTTGCCTCTTTTATATCACGGTTTTTAAAAGACAGACAATTTCAAGTCCGAGTGGGTTCAACCCTGTCTGATCATTACAATCAGGATCAGGGTGTCCCTCAAGGCAGTATTTTGTCTGTCACTTTATTTAGTATCAAAATTAACAGTTTATCCAAGGTTTTAAACGATTCCATTGACGGATCACTTTTTGTGGATGATTTTAATATTTCTTGTCGTGGTAAAATATGCATACCATTGAACGGCAATTGCAGTTGTGTTTAAATAAAATAAATAAATGGTGTCTTGAAAACGGTTTTAAATTTTCCAAATCCAAAACTAATTGTCTACATTTTTGTAGAAAATATAAAACCGCATACAGATCCAGAACTATCTTTAAATGGCATTCCCATCAAAGTTGTTAAGGAGGCCAAATTCTTGGGTCTAATTTTCGACTCTCATTTAACTTTTTTGCCACATATTAAATCACTTAAAGCCAAATGCCTGAAGGCACTCGATTTGTTGAAAGTTGTTTCCAACTCTAAGTGGGGAGGGGATCAAGCTACCCTCCTCCACCTGTATCGATCATTGGTCCGCTCGAAACTTGATTATGGCTCCATCGTATATGGTGGAGCCTGCAAAAGCAACCTAAAACTACTTGATTCTGTCCACCACCAAGGCCTAAGACTTTGTCTTGGGTCCTTTAGAACCTCTCCTATTGATAGTCTCTATGTTGAAGCAGATGAGCCTTCTCTTACACAACGTCGGATAAAATTATCCTTACAGTACCTTACTAAACTATATTCTAGCGAGTCTAACCCTGCATTTAACTGTGTCTTTAATCCCCTCTATGAGGATTTATACAACAAAAAACCTTCTCTTGTTCCGCCTCTTGGGCACAGAATTAAGCCTTTCATTTCTGCTGCCGGCATTGAGCTGGAAAATGTAGCTCCAGCCCGTCTTCTTTCTTCTCCTCCTTGGCAATTGGTTAGGCCACAAGTCGACCTAACACTCACTAAATTTAAAAAATCAGAAACTAATGACTTACTATATAAACAAGAATATAATCAATTAAAAAGTACATATAATACATATAAATCCTTATTTACAGATGGGTCTAAGGATGGTGGCGCGGTTGCTTGTGCCACTGTCATTGGGTCCAAAACAATCTC